GACACTCACAAATTTGTTCTCAAAACCTGTAATAGATATGGTGATGGGTTGGGGAGAAACTCTCCCCTCCTTTTTTTTTTGCATTACAGGTATAGTTTTTTAAAACCATATAGCGCTGTTAGAAATCAGTTCTGCTAACTCACAGAAATATTTCATAAAAAGAACCTTTGTCTTTTGCCAAAATAAATTTCATATTATCAGGGTAATGCAAACTAGCATTTAATACTTGTATTAATGCCAGCTGTCAGTATTGGTCTGTGTTTTACTATCAACTTTGCACTGACTAATCTCGTCCTTCCAAGGCACACAGCTCTCGGAGCTAAGGAGAGTTGTGGGTATGAAGAGTGACATCAGAAGTGTGGACATCGAGGAGGCTTCCGTCAATAAAGACATTCTCTATGGGGTTTATGGTATACGGGTACCTGTAGATTTAATACCCCATAAAAAAGTCCCTCGAGTCTCAAGGCAGGAGGATGGAGGGTCATTAGGTCCAAGATATAAAAAATGAGAAATTCACAGACAGGGTTTGGGAGATAAAGGACAGGAGTTAAGCTTTGTGAAGTTTTGCTTGGGCATCTGGAATGTGAATCCATTCCATGTTTTCATGTTTGTTTCCTTCCTGGCTTTGCCCACTCCCTTCCCCTTTCGTAATATTAACAGTTTATTCCTTTCTGACAAAATATTAAGCATCTTTTTTGAGTGTTTACATACTTGCCTCTGTTTTGAATACTCTTCCTGGGAGACCCACCACTAAACCTCTGGCCTTACCGAGGGATAGTCAAAAACCCTTCCAGGCCTTTCTCTGAGTACCTTCTCCAAATCGTACAGGACCTTTAGGCCTCAAAGGAGAATCTTACTGAAATTGTAGGAGACTAGAGGACTGTGCACAGCCTGACCTCCAGCGACCCCACTCTAGAAAGTTAGCTGGATGGATTTCCTATGAACGGTTCATTTCATGACCCCACAAGAAGAGTCAAAGAACTGCCAGCTCTGCTACACTTCAGGGCAAACTCCAATAAAAAGAAAAGAAAGAAAGAAAAAAACTTATTGCACTCATATTCTGGCTCATCCACAAAGCTGCCTTTTAATTTTCTGGTTCCTTTGTTGAGACAGTTCAAAAGAGCAAAAGGACTTAAGATACAGCAGGGTCAGGAAGATCCCACAGCTCATTTTCATCCGTCTCTGCCTGAGAGGATGGTGTGAGGGCCAGAACTTGGCAAACACATCTTCATGCTAATCACCTCTTCCCGCACAACGTTCTGGAGGGGGAGCTGCTATTTTAAATTCCTTGTTGGGAAGCATGTCGCCAGAGGAAGACAATGCTGGCAATTTGTTGAGAATGGCTGACACTGGGAGGCAAAAGAAAAAGAGAAGAAAAAGCCTACACATGACATAAACAAAAGCCCAACAACCATAAGGCGAAACCCAAAAGTCCTGCCTGTCTCACGACTAGTGCCCTGCCTCCTTCTGTCCACTTCCTTTTTAGACAAAGCTGGGAGAACCCGCTAAAACTCCAAGTACAACAAGCCCGCTCAAAACCTCAAATGTAGAAACATTTTGTTGTTCTCTCACTTGCTTTGTTCTCTTCCTTTTGCCTCAGGCTTCTCACCCTGGGGAGTATATCTTTCCTTTCTCATTGTGTCTAAATTAGAGGCTGACCTCCTTTGGTCAGTCCCCTCAGGCTTGGACTCAGCAACTCTCCACTCCCCCCAACTCCCAGACTAAACAGGCAAACCTGTGGCCCTGGGCTACATGTAGAGAGGAATGAACCCTCTGGCCAAGAAAGGGCTAACAGAGCCTCTGGAATTATAGTGGTACTTTCCTCATCATAGAAATTATGACTTGGGCAACTTCCATTCATATTTCCATTTTGCACAACAAGATCAGAACAGTTCCCAGTTAAAAGGGCACTGGTTCTTGGGACTGAGCTTTCTTTGTCCATATGTCTCCCAAGGAGACATGCGAAGCCAGAGTGTGCATGGGGTGCCTTCCTGCCAAACTACATACCGATATGTACAAAGATGCCACACAAATGAAAGAGAACACCATTTCACAGAATTCCTAAATTATGAGATTAATCACAAAAATAGAAAAAACAATCCTAACATTCATGTGGAACTACAAAAGACCCAAAATAACCAAAGCAAATTTGAGTAAAAAGAATAAAGCTGGAAGCATCACATTACCTGGCTTTGAAATATACTTTAAAGCTATGGTAACCAAAACAGCATGGTACTGGCATAAAAACAGACACATCAACCAATGGAACAGCATAGAGAACCCAGAAATAAATCCACGCACTTATAGCCAACTCATTTTCAACAAAGTTTCCAAGAACATACATTGGGGAAAATGACAACCTCTTCGAGAAATGGTGCTAGGAAAACTGTATATCCATATGCAGAAGTATGAAACTAAACCCGTCTCTCACCAAATATGAAACTACTAAAAGAAAACATTGGGGAAATGCTTCAGAACATCAGTTGGGCAAGACTTCTTGAGTAAGACCTAAATTTTGAGTTTGAAACAAATTAGGTTTCTCTGATTTCCCACTATGGCTTAATTACTAAGGAGTACACGGGGCAGAAAAGCAATCCTCATCATACATCTTTTACCACTAGATTTTATAGAATGTTTTCTGCTTATGAATCACAATCAACAAATTCCACAAATTCCACATTGTCATCACATCCTTCCTTTCTGACACCTAATGTTCACATTCACTAATCTCATGAGTCCACAGGCCTCTATGGACCCCTCACCCCTCTGCTGTGGACACTTCCCCCGGCCAGCCCTGTCAGTCAGACCGACTGCTGGGTTCCCAGAATGCTCCACGCTCTCCCTCCTCAACTCCACCCCAGCCCTACGTTGCCTAGCTCATGCTTATTTATTCTTCAGTTTTAAGTTTAGACATCCCTGGCCCTAGGTTAAGTTCCTTTCTGCAATCACTCATATCATAACTTCCTTCTGCTTCTGTAACCCCCTCTAGACTTTAAACTCCAAGAGGGCAGAGTCGAGGTCTGTTTTCTTCACAGATTCTTCCCCAAGGTCTAGCAGGCCTTGGCTCATAACACAGGCCCTTAATAGTATTATCCACACGAATGACTCTGAATGGGAGTTTTGTGGCAAAGAAGAAAAAACCCTGACCCTCAGTTTTCTTAGGACCTCAAAAATGAACCAGAATTTTTTTTTTCCTCTCCAACTTGATAGTCTATCCCTTACCAATAAATCATGCTCCTCTTGTAATTTTTCTTTTTGCTCATTTGTCTATCTAATAATACAGGATTCTTTCTCAGTCTTTCGTCTGCCATCTTCTTGAAAGGAGAACTGAAAGATATTTTTCCATTCTGCACTGCTTGTTCCAAGGAGATCCCTGTGAACTCTGCCTTTGTAGGCAATAGTCTCACGGACCCCAAGGGCTTGCTCTGACCTGGCATGAGGACACTACCCATAGGCTGCCACTCTTGGTGGCCAGATCTGTCACCATGGAGACAGACTGGCTGGTAAGCAAGACAGGCCAGCTTGGAGAGATTTTTAAAACAGTATTCAGTGCCTTTTAACTCCTAACTGGCAGCTGACTTGGCAAAGCTTTATGAAAATAATCATAGTAGTGAAAATCAACATGAGAATGTCACTAACAAGTAGGATATAGAACATAGATTAAAACTAAAAACTTGAAAGGAGAAAATACATCCAAATTCAAATAAAAGAATCTTGAATTACAGTGTTGTCAATTCCTCAGCACCTAAGCAAAATTATACCAAACAATCCTAAGAGGAGACAGTTTAGCTTCACTTTTTTTCCTGAAAGAATTTTTGTTGCTGTTGTAAAATATATGAGACATACAATAAGAACAACAAACTCTTCTATTACTGCTCACTATTTAACAGGCACCTCACCTTATATATATGCATGAGGTTAGTATTATTTGATCCCCCATTTTACATGTTAAGAAATTTTCCCAAGGTTACAAGGCTAGAAGGAGCAGAGCAATAATTTGAACTCAGGAAGTCCAATTATAGATTACATTCTCTTAACCACTAGACTATACTGCCTCTTATATTTCACATGCAAAAAGATGTTTATGACATTTATAGTTTAAAAAAATAACATGAACAACCGTGTACCTGTATGTTTTCTCTTCTCTTGGTTCCTCTATGCCATACTCTGGATTATTTATTAGATCTATTTTCTAGCTTACCAATGTTCTCTTCAACTATCTCTTATCTGTTTAATTCATAAAGTTTTTAATTCCTATTTTTATGTTTTTCATCCCTAGAGATTCCATTTTATTTTAAAAATTTGCTTAGTCATCATTTTTATGGTTTCATATCCTTGCTCATATTTTCAATGCTTTTTTCAAAAAATTTCTGAAGCATGTTAAAATATTCATTTATATTTTTGACTGATAAATCCAATAATGAAGTATTTATAGGGCCCACTCTGCTGTCTCTGTGTTCTGTTGGCTGTTACTCATGGTGACTTGTTTGTGTTCTAATTAAGGCTGTGTTTCTCCAGAAGTGATTTCTGTTTATTTCTGAGAGCTTTGTAGGGTTGTTGAGGATATTTACACTGCCACTATACTATAAAGAAATACTTACTTTAAACTTTCTTTCCTTTCCCAATATTTCCCAAAAGAAAACAATTCTCCAGTGGATATCAATGCTGGGGAGCATTTGCTATCACTCTCATTGGCAGGATCAAAAATTGGATTATTCCTACTTTGGAGAATATGAAGTAAGTGTGAGAAAGACATGCTGCTGAAATCCTAACAAATCAAATTCTTTACCATGTGTATCCGGGTTCAATTTAAGGAGAATTTTTATTTGGCCAAGAAAGTATCTTTAATAAGAAATGTTCTTCTGCATTTTGGTTACTGAACCATCCATACCAGCCTTTACTCTAAATCATGAATGGTGAGAACTGCATGATTATTTATTTCAGTCATGTCATGCAAGACTGCTTGAAGAGCAAGCCTACAGTTACAGAAATGTACAAACCTGTGAGGATCATCTGGGTCGCAATTGGGAAGAAACTGAGTGACTGCTTCAGCTACTTCTTCATTTGATAAGACATCCCAGAGCCCATCAGTGGCCAAGATCAGCACATCATCTGCTCCATGCTCATATTTGGAGAGATCATAGACTCTTACCTGAAAAGAACAGGAATACTACTGCTTAAGAAATTGGGAGCACAGTATTTTCCTCAACAAATTGACTTCTGACTTCCCTTTTCCTGCCAAGCCTAGTGGTTTTTAGGTATGCACTATAAGGTACTTAATTATACAGTGAGCTTCGTGCCCAGGGTCAGCCTCCCTTGCAGACCTGCTATACAGACATATGGGGCCCAAGGCACCCTGTGAATGAGCTTATGAGGTGGGCTTAATAACTGACAAGGAAGAAATTAATTGAGAATGAAATGCCTGGGGTAGGGTTGGAATGATGACTTACAAGTGGATATTGTGCTAGCCAGATCAGCAGCAAGGGGATTACTTACTGGTCTTCCTTAATATATTAATTCAGCAAACATTAAGGGCCTACCCCGTGCCAGATGCTATAAATACAAAGATGAGTAACAGATTTTCCTGCTTCAGAAGAGCTCTCAGCCTGTGGTGGAGATAAAGCCAACTTAGCATCCTTAGTAAGTGCGCTGTATGTATTTGTCTGGGACTAAGGAGAGGTACTTAACGCACTCACTTGAAACCCTTCTTGCCTTACCTGCTCTGAGGCCCAAGGGGCCAACTCCTCTCGTATAAGGATGGGGCTCTGACACCACACCCAGGCTGGAGGTGCCACAATCTAGACTAAGTTACAGAGGACACATGCTCAGTCTGAATTTGCAAAGTGTCTTGACAAACTTCAAGTCTTCCCTCATCTCTAGTACTTTGAATGACTTTGATATTTCAACATACATCTAAGCTCTTCACAAAGAATGAAGCGGCCTTGGCAAAACTAATAGCCTCACTGCGGATAGGCCACAGCTCTGGGTTCACTCTGCTTTGGTGGGGGTGGGGAGCGAAGTTTGGGGTTTCACCGCTATTCCTTCCTAATTTGGCAGAATCAACCCCTGCTCACACCGCTTCATGAACTGAGGACAAAGCAGGTCAATTTAACCAGTTTCCTTCAACCCCCTCATTCCTAGGTCCTATCTTCTGAAAGCAAGTCTGAGTAAAAGCTATGTATGGGTCAGGGCAGGGGAGAGAGATGAAAGAGGATGTGGCGTAAGTTGCTGTTCTTGTGTCCCCTCACATGGCCACTGCTACGTCATCTCAGGTCTAGAGACAGTACAATTCTACGAGGCCTAGAGAGTGTTCGAATCCATGTCTTTGAGAGCTAGACCTCCTCTGTTGTGGAAAGGGTTGCCCCGGATAGTGAAGCCCTACCGGGGGGCTGGTCCTGTGGGCTAACAGCCTACACCCGGCAGCAGCAAACAACAAAATGCCTACCCATGGGGCTCCTGGTAAATGCCTACCCACGGGGCTCCTGGCAAATGAGCTCAAATGAAAAGCAGCCGCCAGGTACCAGGGCTCTGTGGCCTGAGAACAGGATGGTAGCCATCAGCGAGTGGCCCAGCACATGGGCCACGTTCAGGAGATGAGCACTCAGGGCTATACTGCCCTGCCTGTTAACATCTTTTTTCAAAAAGGCTTCTTCACTTAAGGCTAAGTTTATGTTCTGGAGAAGGCACTGAGCCTTATGAGTCAAATGAAAGAAAATAGGAAAGGGGGAACTTAAGTTTCCAACAGACCAGAAAGTCCCAAATGCCAGAATTCTATCCTTAGGCCGCTAAGTAATGTGGGCTGTGCTCTGTCAGAAGCAACCTAACCCCCTTTGTTTTATTTTCTGTGGTCCCTAGGTATGTGGGAGCCAGTGCTTCTCAAATGTTAATGTGTTTAGAAATCAGCGAGGGATTCTGTTAAACTACAGATTCTAATTCAGTTCCGGGGGGAGGGGTGCTTGAGAGTCTGCAGTTCCAACTCCCTCCCAGGTGGCGCCAACGTGGCAGGTCCATGGACCACACTTTGAGTAGCAAAGTTATAGGGGATTCCTACTGGGCCAGGTTTGTAAACAAGAAAATCAAAGGCTCAGTGGATTCCCTGATGCCTGCTTGGACTGTTCCCTAGAGCAGGTTATAGAGAAGTCAGAGAGCGTCACCCCTGGACTCCCAACTTCAAATCCTGGCTCCTCTTGTTGGGTTGTTACTATCAGAATGCTACAACTTTGCGTAAGAGAGACTGCTAGCTTCTTAGTGGGGTGTACCTGCAATAAATTTCTGTGATAATTTGAGTTCTGCAGGATAAGAAATATTAAGTAACAAGAGGTGGGGAGATGTGGATGTCACATGGCCCAATCTTATGGTTGGGCCAATCTTAGCTAAGCAGGATATTCAATTTGCCTTCCAGCTCCTTCTGGAAGGAGAAGTTTCCATGTCTGTAGATAACATCCATTTACCTTCAGAATCTGCCCTGTGAGGAGGGTGCCAAAACCTCCTCAAAAGCGCTTTCTGCTGACTGAAGGAGTGTGACAGGTTGCTCGAGCTGAGGGTGTCCTGTCCACACTGAAATGGAAATTTGGCTAACAGAATGGGTGGGGATGATACACACAAACATGTTATAAAATGCCACTCTCCAATTCTGCCAACAAATGCAATCCTTCCCTAATTCCACTATTCATATTTCCACACTAGGCTCCCTAATGTTGCTTCGTCAGCCAACGTGAAAATCCCTTTCAATACCATTCTCCATGTAATTTTTATGCAAATAATAAAAAACTGATCACAACCCTATTCCCTGAGACACTCCCCAATTAACATCCTTTTAGGTTTTTATGGCTACCCTTTGTTTCCTGCCCTGTAGCCAATTTCCAAAGGTCTTTGCCAACTTTCCACTTACAGCTCGTGTCTTATACACTAACCTGTGATACAGAACATTTTCTGAAAATGCTTTTGGACGGATTGGACTGCTGTGCAAGGCATCCCCCGGCACGCCCACCCTCCCCGGCAGCCTGGGCTTCAAAGGATCCCAGCGGGCTCCGGAGTCCTGCCCTTCCCTCCCTGAAGCTGTCATCAACCCTTTGCAACCACACCATACTCACCTCCCCAGTTCCCCTGTTCAATTCCTTAAATGGCTTCTCCATGTTCCGGGAAGCCTCACATCAAACTAATGGGCTCTGAGGCTTCCCAGAACTCAGACATCTGGAAGGGAGTCCTTGCAGGCCCCTGAGGGGACAGGTGTGCTACAGAAAGGTCTTTGTCGGGGGCAGGCATGGAGGGAACATGAGTCAGGGCTTCTAGCAGCTCTTTCCTGTGTTCCCATCAGCCAAGAAAGGGAGAGAAAGGCCAAATAAATCCTTGGGATTTTTGTAGTTTCTCAAAGCAATAAAATCTGAGCAGCTGAGAAATGGGCACCGGATCGAACTACCTGCCTTCCTGCTGCCTCTGTTACATATTTATTGAGCACTTATTACGTGCCAACCATTTTGGCACTAGGGATACAATGAACAAAAGTGACAAAGTCACAACTTCTAAACTAGCAGATGAGATAGACAGGTAAATAAGCTACAATGTCAGAAAATAATAAGTGCTCTGAAGAAAAATCCAGCAGGGTTAAGGAGGACAATGGAGAGTCATTTTAGAAGTGGTCATGGTGGCCTCTCCGGGAAGGCGTCATCTGCAAAACTGAGGTGATTTCCTGTGGGTTCCTACTTGCATTTCTCCTTCCTGCCTTCCTTTCTTCAGGTACCTGTTACTCAGTGTTAGACTGGTGGTGAAGAGGGAGGGCTGAAAGGGGTAGGTGCTGCCTTCTGTTGCCAAAGCAACCATGAAGAGGACCAAAGAGCAGCCATCTTTCTTTCCCCTGGTCTTCTGCAGGCACAGTCCTTTCACACCCACTAATACGGTATTTATTTATTTATTTATTTTTTTGAGACAGAGTCTCACTTTGTTGCCCAGGCTAGAGTGAGTGCCGTGGCGTCAGCCTAGCTCACAGCAACCTCAAACTCCTGGGCTCAAGCAATCCTGCTGCCTCAGCCTCCTGAATAGCTGAGACTACAAGCATGCGCCACCATGCCCGGTTAATTTTTTTCTATATATATTAGTTGGCCAATGAATTTCTTTCTATTTATAGTAGAGACGAGGTCTCGCTCTTGCTCAGGCTGGTTTCAAACTCCTGACGTCGAGAAATCCGCCTGCCTCGGCCTCCCAGAGTGCTAGGATTACAGGCATGAGCCACCGCGTCCGGCCTGGTATTTATTAATACCCGTGTGTACACATCAGGGTTCACTTGTCTGTCTCTTCCACAAGATTATTCTCAAACTTCAGTGTGTTTAAGAATTATTTGGAGTGCTACTTAACTAAATTCAGATTCAAGGATCCACCTTTAAAAGTCTGTCAGTGCAGATCTGAGCTGGGGCCCAGGCATCAGTATCCTTAAACAAGGACACTAGGTAATTCTGATGCAGGTGGTAGGGGAATCTTACTTTGAAAATGCTGTAATAGGCAATAATCTCCTCTAGGGGCATGGTCTGTCTTGTTCTATTTGTTTCTGTGCCCAGAACAGAGCACAGAGCCTAGCCCTTGGTAACCACTCAATTCATAACCAAAGAATTTCCCTTATTGGACATTCACCCTTGTCCAGTTTATAATGAATACTCAGGGAGTTGGTCAGCTTATCATCCTCCCAAAATTCAACTTCTAAAGGCCAGAGATCTCAATCTGCATTTCTTCTGTGGGCCTAGCAGTGTCTGGTATATGCCACAGTAGATCTTTAGTACACACTTGCTGAGACAAAGAATGACTAGGGTAAGAAGGGAAGAAGAAAAAAATTAAACATACAAGATACTTTCAGAAGACCCCCTAATTTCCTGGTGACACAAAAGATTCAGCTTATTAACTCCAATACTGCCAAATAGTCACCAGAATGCAACGTGCTGGTATTTAGCAGAAGCAGCAAACTCTTTCCTTTTCTTCCCGTCCTTAGTGGCGCTGCCAACAAACAAACAATGCTCGGTGTTGAGGAGCAGGAAGAAGTCTTGGGGGCAAGCAAGAGCCTTGGCTAATGTGCCCGGAATGAGCCAAGTGCTGACTGTTCTCATAGGGCCCTCAGCTTCAGAGCACTTAGAGATGTCCTTAATGTCATCACTGGGCACTTATTTT